GAGAATCCAGAGAAATGGTGAAGAACACTTTGTGAAAATCCTTACGGGGTTGTCATCTTCTCCTCATGCTACTTTTCCGGTTTCATTATGGATCTACCTCAATCAGTGTGAGAAGCACATGGGCACCATGAGGGACCAGGCAGACACTTAGGGGCAGAAGGGCCAGGGAATCCTATTGTGGTCTTTGGGCTTGGCTCTCTCCTAGTTGTCTTTTGTATGTTAAGAACTCCAGGAATGTTGAGCACACATGAAATTCAGAACAGCCTGCATAAATGGTTTTGATAGCCACATAAATATGAAAATACAAATGATTTCAGCAGGAATAAAATTTATTTCTAATACTCAATATTATCTGCTCCTTGAAGCTATGCAAAGACTAATAAGTGCATACACTTCTTGAGCAGTGTTACATAAATATAAAACATGATTCATAGATATGTTTATGGCCACAGACACATTAATTGATAGTCTACAGAAAGACTTACGTTCCTTTACAAATTAAAAGGGGACACGTGTGCTGTTTCTGCTCATTTGCTGAGTATGCAACTGGAAAACCCAATCTTCTATTCTGGGATTTAAAATCTGGTACTTTCAGCAAATAACATCATCAATATTTTAAAGTCATACTGGCTTCTGGTAAGTAGCAGAGGAATTGCTGTCCCTCCTTAAATCCTTCTCTGAGGCACCCTTCTCTCTGTGATGCCCCACAACATTAACTCTTCTCCTTTGAGAGCAGGTGTGCATGCCAAGAGCAGAAATTCCTAGGGAAGCTTTTGTAAGTCCAGATCCCACCCTGCCGTCCCCTCCAGGCCTTGATTTTAGCATCAACCCAAAACTTTTTTGGATTTTTGTGGACTCTGCTTAACTTTGATGTAGAATGTCTGTAGATTCTTGTCCACTGTCTAAAACAGAGGTGATCAAGAATGGCTTCTGCCCTTCAGAAGGGCCATTTTCACAGTATCACAGGCAGGAGACTCCACGCTCCTAAGCAGATCTTAGGCCTTTAAGGCCATCAGAGATGTACAGTTAGTTTGGATCAGACTTCGGTTCCTAAAACACCCTGGAGTTAATTATCCAGAAGGGCAGTAGGGCTTGCAGAACCCTAAAGAGGCAGAAAACCCTCTATCCCCCCATGGAAACTTTAATCCTTTCAGGTGAGTTTTGTTTCTGTTGGAAATCCAAGACTTCGCAAACAGGATGAGACCTTCTAAAGTCACAGGGTGAATATAATGAGTGCAGGACTTGGGATACTTAGGCAGGGGGGAGAATTGGCCTTAGTATTTCCTTTCATTAGCGTCTCTCTAGGTAATGATTTCCTTACTTAACCAAAGAAAAGCGATGTAAGCGGCTACCCCTCGCCTATTAAAAGGAGAAAGATAGATACCTTTAACTGAAAGCAAAGCATCACAAAATTCTTTAATTATAAGCTCAAATGGGGCTTTGAGCTCATCTTGTATCTTCTTGGCTTTCAGCAGGATAGCATTGAGCTTTCCTAAAAAGATAAGACTCAGTCTATTTTAAAACATATCCAAAGATGGTATTCCAGTTTCTGTTCCTTTGTTAGGGTACTTTTTTCCCTTTCTAACCTCACCACAGGTGAACTTTTCCTGTTGCTAACCTGAAGTCTTCACATTAGAGCTTGGCTCAGTTTGCTCAGCAGAGCTGGTGGATAGCTGGTCACCATCAGCCTTTTCTAAACTGTACTTCCATCTGTCCATCTGTACAAAATTATAACAATTAATTAGGATATTTGGATTTAAATCAATAAATTTGAACCCGGATGCCAACTGAATGACTCACTGACATGGCAAAAGACTGCCTCCCTTCTTTTTGTCATAGTTTTTCTTATCTCTGTCATCAGCTCCAATGCTAACATCTCTCCCTTTTCCATCTCTCTTGCAAAACTCCCCACACAAGTTCATTCACACACAGGCACACACAAATGTGCACATTTATACTGGTAAATAGAAAAACATCCCTGAAGCAGCTAGTTAACACTTACACCTTACCCCTCACTATTCACATTGAGGGGTAAGAGTTCAGGGTCCAGACTCTGGAACCCATTGTCTGGGCCTAAATCCTGGCTCTGGGACCTTGGAAACATTTTGTAATCTCACTTTGTAAGCATTTTCTCATCTGTAGAATGGAAACAGTAATAGTACCTACCTTAGAGGGTTGTGGAAATGATTAATGAGTTAATACATAAAAGCTCTTTGAATGCAGTCTGGTACTCTAATATTAAAGACTATATAGTTGTTAGCTATTGTTACACCCTTCTTGCAGCAAAGGGATATTCAGAGGCATCAAACTATGCCCAATATTCCAGAAGCCAAGAGTTTGAGAAAGAACAGGAGTGGGATTCAAGTTTAAGGGAAGTAGGGGTAAGCAAGAAGAGTCGCCAGGGTGAAAGATCAAAGAAAAACAGGGCAAAAAGCAAACAGGAGATTAACAAAACTACAGAGAAAGGGCAAAAGATGGCATTTAGCCGGGAAAAGGTAGACAGAGAACATAAGGGAAAGGAAGATAAAGAAGAAACGAAAATGGGAAACATGAGTAAAAGGTGAGTACGTAAAGGAAAGACAGAAAAGAAGAGGAAAAGGGGGCGGAGAACAACAAAGGAGATCAAAAATGGGAAAAGACGGCATTTGCAGTTCGAGTCGGTATCGTGGGAAAAGGGTATGGAAGTAGGGAAGCTTGCGGCAGAAGGGATGGGGGAAAGAGGAGATTCAAAGAGATAACAGATAAAAGTTTCATTTGTCATTTGCAGCATTTTGTCCCTTTAAATTATGGGGCGCTGCAAGCTTACTTAACTCACCCTTGAGCCTCAAGGCTCCTGATCATGTTCCTTCTATTCCAACTTGCATTTAATCTCTGCCCCAGACTTAGCTTCTAATGTTTGCCCTGGTCAGATGTCTGCCTTGTGTTTTTAGCCCAACAAGGCCAAAATGCAGTGATCTTGTCTTTATTTCATTTTCCCTAACCAGTCATCCTTTTCAAGTGAAATTTAGCTCTGGAGCAAATGTCTGCATCCCCTTTCTACTCCAAACATTCGGAAATCTAGAAGGGGAACTGGTGTTTTAATTTTTAAATTATTCACCTAACGGCATTCCCATTTTTAGTCAATTAAAAAGAGGTAAAAATGATACAGTACTGCAAGAATAGGTCGCTTTTAGGTCTCCAACGTGCCCTCACCATTAAAGGGTCTTAATTACCTAACCTTTTGGAAATAGGACAGAGGTCGGACGGAGGTTTAAAATAAAGTCGGCATTTAAAAAATACTTTTTAAATTAAGAACCATCGTGATTAAATTGCCTGTTTGGTGCAAAATACGTCCCCCTATTTGAGGAACTCCAGAGACCTTAAAAGGCCCTCTAAACAGATGAACCGAACGGACCGCGAGCGTCTCCTCACGCCGGGGTGATCCTGGGCCGCCGCCGCCGCCAGAGTCACGAAGCCAGACGCAGTGCGCGTCTCCGCCCAGGACTCCGGAGACTGCAGCAGCGCGAGCGGCCGCCGCGGCCTGGGCTGCTCCTGGAGTCGGGGAGGAGACGCGACTCCCGCAGACACGTGACCTCCTCCCAGCCGCCGCTTCCCGCGACCCAGATCCGTCCCCGGAACCCGTGCCTGGCGGGGCGGGCTGGGGGACACGTAGCTGGCGCCCCAGTCCCTGCTGCGCCCTGGTGCGTGTACCTTCGGCGTTCTCCCCTCGGTTCACTTATCACTGCCAATAATCAGTGTTTCGGGGATCACCCCGGGAAGAATGTAAATATCCCTCTCGGTGCAGGAAAAACCTTGGTTTTATCTCTACGCTTTTATGTGTATCTAGAGAAATATATATATTCCCTCCATCCCACCCCTGGGAGTCCCTCAAGACATGCTTTCCCCTGGACTCGCAGGGCGGCGTGGGCAGTGCGCATCCCCGGGCACCTCCTGGTAACTCTCACTAGCAGTGAGTCAGGCTCCCGGGGTGGCTCTGGGGAAAGGTAACTCGGCTCTTGCTGGCCTGTGCTTCCCAGCGCCGAGCGCCGCGGCTGCAGGGCGAGCGCGCGCGCGCACGGGTTCCCCGAGCAGTGATGTGGCAGCAGCGGCAGGTCGGATCACGTTGCTGGCCCTGTGCTGGTACCCGTTTGAGACAGGATTAAGGAGGGAGGCTTTGGAAGTGCCAGCGGTAGTAAACGTGGGCTCTGCACACTCCGGGCGTCTCTTATCGCGCGGGGGCACGGGGGGATGGGGAAAGCACGTAGCGTCACCGGAGGCTCGGAACGCGGCGGAGTTGAGCGGGCGGGTGATAAATGCTGCATAGCTTTCCTGTGATAGCCCCTCTCGTGCCACCCCCTTCTCCCTCCCCAGCCCCCACTCAACCCCGGCTCGCTCCCCGCCGCGTTCCTCCAGGAGCACACGCGGCTCCAAACGTCGTCATCTGCTGCTGTGATTAGTGGCACCGCAATTCCGGCTGCTGCGGGGAAGTTTAGGTGGCCCAGGAACGCCGTGTCACCGAAAGACACTTGGATTGCGACATTCGGACCCGGTGACAACGTTTTCAAGTGTCTTAAATCCTTCAAGGAGCGGATTGCAAGTTGCTTCTTCTCGAGGCAACCTCTCCGCCCCACTGATCAGTGAGCAAACAAGTCTCCAAAATTTCCTTTGGGACTCAAGTTTACCCACCGCGAATTCTCTTTTTCTTTCCTTTTTATGGTTCAAACCAACAGCACAGTCGGTGGAAAAGCAAAAAGCCACGTTCACATTCCTGCACCGTAATAACGGACGAACCCAGGGAGTCGCATTTCCGAGCCAAGGAAGCTCAGGCTGCCCCGCACCCCCGCACCCCCACTTCCCCCTCCCCCTGCCGACTCCATCGCCTTTGGGAAGATGAATAGCTTGGCCGAAGTTGTTTTTCCTTTCCGGTGGCCCTGATCAGGTGTCCCCGCCCCCTCCTGCCGTTCGCCTTCTCTCGCCGCCTTCTCCCGACGCCCCCTCCCGGCCCGGCCCCTCCTCCCCCGCCCCCCTCCGGGCTGGACCGCGGATGGTACGTTCCGCACGTGAGCTGGGTGCTGGTCTGGCCGGCGACGCGCGTGCCCTGTGGCCAAACACTGCCTGGAGTGAGAGCAAACTACCAGCGCAGTGGGGCCGGCGCGAGTGTGCGTGTGTGTGCGTGTGTGTGTGCGAGCGCGGTGGAGGGGGGACCAACTGCTTCACACTTTCAACACTGCACTGAAGAGGGAGAGCGAGAGAGAGAGACTGGAGACGCACAGATCCCCCCAAGATCTCCCAAGCCTACCGTCCCACAGATTATTGTACAGAGCCCCAAAAATCGAAACAGAGGAAACGAACAGCAGTTGAACATGGACGAAGGAATTCCTCATTTGCAAGAGAGACAGTTACTGGAACATAGAGATTTTATAGGGTAAGGTGCACGCACCCTTGCGACTATCTGTCTAGGCTTTGGTTTGATTTTTCTCTTCTCCAGAAAGTGGTATGGAGCTGGCGAGGGCAGAGCCCCTCCCCGAATGGGTGCCTGATGCTGATTTCTGTTTTGCAGACTGGATTATTCCTCTTTGTATATGTGTAAACCCAAAAGGAGCATGAAACGAGACGATACCAAGGTAAGTGTAAGTTCCCGATATTCCTCATAACCTGCATGGGTAGTTAATTAGGGCCATTGATTTCACAGCCAAGCTCTGCCTGCAAATATATTCCAGCCCCTGAGCTTCCCCAACTGTGAATTTTAAGTGGCTTGCTGGGTACTCTCAAGGGGATATTAAACATCATACCTGAATTTAAATTGCATTGCAGAACAGTCCAGAGGAAAGAGGTTTCTTGGGTGTAGTTTATCACATAGTATGTTTTATGGTGGTGGGGGGCGGGGAGGGACAGAGGAGGGTAATATCCAATAAATGAATGTTTCGCTTACTGTTTTCTCTTTTCCATGACTCTCATATATTAAGGATACCTACAAATTACCGCACAGATTAATAGAAAAGAAAAGAAGAGACCGAATTAATGAATGCATTGCTCAGCTGAAAGATTTACTGCCTGAACATCTGAAATTGACAGTAAGATGCACGTTTTCATTCTTTGCTGCTCTCCAAAGGCGTTTTAATAGTCTGGTGCGACTCCCAGAAAATATAAGAATAAATGTAAATATAAGTTCCTGATTTACAACTTGTGCTATACCGTACAGAGTTTCCCGCAAACTGAGTCGGTGCTCCCAGCTGAAGGCAAGAAATCATTTATAACCTGTCTTGTGGAAAGCTCAAGAAGTATAAGAATAGTACTTCTTTCAAAGTGTTTGCTTAAATTGCTGTGCTGAATGGACAGCCAATTAAGCCAAATGTGTGTTTTTTAAGTAACCAAGTGCCCCTTTCTTTTTTGCACTACTGCAGACTCTGGGGCATCTGGAGAAAGCCGTAGTCTTGGAATTAACTCTGAAACACCTAAAAGCTTTAACCGCCTTAACCGAGCAACAGCATCAGAAGATAATTGCTTTACAGAATGGTAAGTCAGTTCAGGGAGGCCAACCTACCCTGATGAAGCGGGGCAGCCCACAGGGGAGCAGTGTCAGGACTCCTTCACCTGCACCCCACCTCTTTCGGTGGGCTCATGGGTTCCCTCTCGTTTGTTAAATTGCTTTATACTTTCCCTTCATTGGAACGAGCCCATTTCCCGAAGCATCCTAGAGGCTTTCAGCAGAACTCGGAGGAATCAGGTTTTAAAGTGGCGGTTGCACCCGCTCCACTTTGGTTTTCAGCTGGGAGGAGAGCGCCCTCTCCCAGCTCCGCACCTCCGCCACCCCCCTTCTCTCGGCAACCAGTGGATTATATCACTTGAATACTGGGGAAAAACCGAGATCACTTTAGTCGATGCAGGGCCCACGTGATAAGCAGATGTTTTAACGTGGGTATCTTTCTTCTTGCCTCCACTCCTCCGTCCCCACCCCCCTATCCCTTCCTCATCCTAGGGGAGCGATCTCTGAAATCGCCCATTCAGTCCGACTTGGATGCGTTCCACTCGGGATTTCAAACATGCGCCAAAGAAGTCTTGCAATACCTCTCCCGGTTTGAGAGCTGGACACCCAGGGAGCCGCGGTGTGTCCAGCTGATCAACCACTTGCACGCCGTGGCCACCCAGTTCTTGCCCACCCCGCAGCTGTTGACTCAACAGGTCCCTCTGAGCAAAGGCACCGGCGCTCCCTCGGCCGCCGGGTCCGCGGCCGCCCCCTGCCTGGAGCGCGCGGGGCAGAAGCTGGAGCCCCTCGCCTACTGCGTGCCGGTCATCCAGCGGACTCAGCCCAGCGCCGAGCTCGCCGCCGAGAACGACACGGACACCGACAGCGGCTACGGCGGCGAAGCCGAGGCCCGGCCGGACCGCGAGAAAGGCAAAGGCGCGGGGGCGAGCCGCGTCACCATCAAGCAGGAGCCTCCCGGGGAGGACTTGCCGGCGCCCAAGAGGATGAAGCTGGATTCCCGCGGCGGCGGCAGCGGCGGCGGCCCGGGGGGCGGCGCGGCGGCGGCGGCAGCTGCGCTCCTGGGGCCCGACCCTGCCGCCGCGGCCGCGCTGCTGAGACCCGACGCCGCCCTGCTCAGCTCGCTGGTGGCGTTCGGCGGAGGCGGGGGCGCGCCCTTCCCGCAGCCCGCGGCCGCCGCGGCCCCCTTCTGCCTGCCCTTCTGCTTCCTCTCGCCTTCTGCAGCCGCCGCCTACGTGCAGCCCTTCCTGGACAAGAGCGGCCTGGAGAAGTATCTGTACCCGGCGGCGGCCGCCGCCCCGTTCCCACTGCTATACCCCGGCATCCCTGCCCCGGCCGCAGCCGCGGCCGCCGCCGCCGCCGCTGCCGCCGCCGCCGCCGCCTTCCCCTGCCTGTCCTCGGTGTTGTCGCCCCCGCCCGAGAAGGCGGGCGCCGCCGCCGCGACCCTCCTGCCGCACGAGGTGGCGCCCCTTGGGGCGCCGCACCCACAACACCCGCACGGCCGCACCCACCTGCCCTTCGCCGGCCCCCGCGAGCCGGGGAACCCGGAGAGCTCTGCTCAGGAAGATCCCTCGCAGCCAGGAAAGGAAGCACCCTGAATCGTTGCGTCTCAAAGGACGGAGGTTCAAGCGGAGTGAGAAGTTAAAACACCCTTAACGTCTTTAAGGGAGGAAGTGTAATAGATGCACGACAGGCATAAACAAGAACAACAAAACAGGTGTTATGTGTACATTTGGAGTTCCTGTTTTGCTCATCCCTCACCACCCCACCCTCCACACACTAACATCCCTTTCTTCCCCCCACCAGCTGTAAAAGATCCTCTGCGAAAGATATATATATATTTTTTTTAATAATCCCCCAAATAAGTTTTGTCCCCTTTTAGGCCATGTTCCATTATCTCTTAAAATTGGAACCTAATTCGAGAGGAAGTCAGAAGGGTCTGTTCTATGGGTAAGCTAGGTGAACCCCGGGGTAGGGGAAACATGTTAACACCTTTGACGTCTTTGACTGAAGTTGACATGGAACAGCAGATAGTTGTTATGTAGAGGTAGTTCTCAAAGCTGCCCTGCCTGTTTTAGGAGACTTTCCACAAACAGATTGAGGATCTTTTAGAATTGAATTTACTCTTCAGTATTTTCTAATGTTCAGCTTTCTAAAAGGCATCTATTTTTCAAAGAAGTGAGGATGCAGTTGCTCACGTTGCAACTTATTCTGAAGTGGTTTAAATGATATCTCTTAGTAACTTGCACTTGTTAAAGAAACACGGAGCTGGGCCATCGTCAGAACTAAGTCAGGGAAGGTGATGGATGAGAAGGCCAGAATCATTCCTAGTACATTTGCTAACACTTTATTGAGAAATTGACCATGAATCAATGGACTCACCTTAATTTCTTTATCTATCTATACAAATTTCTGTTTATCCATAGATAGGTATCTATACATACACATCTCGAGTGCATCTATTCCCACTCTCATTAATCCATCATGTTCCTAAATTTTTGTAATCTTACTGTAAAAAAGTGCACTGAACTTAAAAACAAAACAAAACAAAAGTCCAAACTGATATATCCTATATTCTGCTAAATGACAAAAGTGAACGAAAGCATTTAACTGGTCAATTTTGATTGGAAATGCTGTAAAGATATGGAATGAAGTCCTGTGAGGCCCTCCTATCTCCAAGTCTATGTATTTTCTGGAGACCAAACCAGATACCAGATAATCACAAAGAAAGCTTTTTTAATAAGGCTTAAACCAAGACCTTGTCTAGATATTTTTAGTTTGTTGCCAAGGTAGCACTGTGAGAAATCTCACTTGGATGTTATGTAAGGGGTGAGACACAACAGTCTGACTATGAGTGAGGAAAATATCTGGGTCTTTTCGTCAGTTTGGTGCATTTGCTGCTGCTGTTGCTACTGTTTGCCTCAAACGCTGTGTTTAAACAACGTTAAACTCTTAGCCTACAAGGTGGCTCTTATGTACATAGTTGTTAATACATCCAATTAATGATGTCTGACATGCTATTTTTGTAGGGAGAAAATATGTGCTAATGATATTTTGAGTTAAAATACCTTTTGGGGAGGATTTGCTGAAAAGTTGCACTTTTGTTACAATGCTTATGCTTGGTACAAGCTTATGCTGTCTTAAATTATTTTAAAAAAATAAATACTGTCTGCAAGAAACCAGCTGGTTTAGAAAAGTTTAGTATGTGAAGATAAACTAGAAATTATCTTTATATTCTAGTATTTTCAGCACTCCATAAATTCTATTACCTAAATATTGCCACACTATTTTGTGATTTAAAAATTCTTACTAAGGAATAAAAACTTTAATATACAGTATGATATTGTCTAATAATTAAAAAAGACAATGGATGCTCAATTAGTTTTGAGATATCTATGACTGTAGGGATACAAATCACTGAGGTTCTCAGATATACAGCTTTTTTTGTCATTGGCTTGATGTCACACATTTCCAATCTCTTGCAAGCCTCCAGGCTCTGGTTGTGTCTACCTGCTTGTTTCCAATGTATCTTAATGAAAAGTGCAAAAGAAAAACCTACCAATTAACTTGTGTGATTTGTTTATGTTAGACCCAATTTTCTATTGTTTTAATGATTGACAAGGTTTTCACTTTTTGTCTGTGACATCAGATAGCCTCTCTAGTATGGTCAGGTGTTTCTCTTTCACTGGGTCTTATATAAATAGATGATCACATAGGGGTGCTTAACATGAGAGTGCTTTGGCTTCTTAATTTTTATAAAATAATTCTGTCATGGGACTTTATCATGGAATTCCAGGATCAGAAATAATTTCTAGACTTTTCTCAAATTTCCATTCAAATCTGTGACATGATACAAACTGAGTGAAGGATTGTCAGCTTTTAGTTTCAGGAATGTTCTTCACAACCCCCTTGATTTTTGAAAAATGTTTAAATGAGAGTCACATTGTATAAGATGTAGAAAAAGTGCTCCCTCTGCTGACTTCATGGCAACTGAACTGCAAGTCGTAACAGTGTGGAGCCAGGAGCCAGGGCTCATCCAGTCCCCTGCATTTCCTCATAGGAAAAAAAGAAAGGAAGCCCAGAGATATTAAGTATCTTCCCAAGGTCACAGAGCTACCTAGAGTCAGCACTAGCACTAGTGGCCAGCTCTATCATATCCCTCAGTCAGTCAACTACTTCCCATTGCAGTATCTTGGACCAAGTAAGCTGAACTTGATTGAGCACCCTTCATGAAGCTTTGTAACAAACCATAGAACAAAGGAAACTGAAATTAACACTGGAAAACTATGTAGGATTTTCGAGCATTGTTAATTTATTGAACTTTAGAAAAATTATCTGAATCAGAATGGGAAAAACAGCATTTCAAATATTTTGAGCTATATTTTGATGCTACTACTGTAGTAATATTAGTTTCATAACCAAAAAGGATTAAGAGTGAATCAGAGGATAATACAATGGTTTTAGCATGTGTATAATTTTGGTAGAATGAGATAAAAAAACTTCAGAGTTGGGCCAGATTTTATAAGTCAGTTATTTAGTCCAAGTACCCATATGGTAACATAAGATAGTTAGAACAGAAATGCAAAAATAATATTATCTATATTGCATCTAAAATCTGAAAAAAATGTTATTCTGGTCATTGATTTATTTTAATGAATTAAAAGGCTTAAGTCATTATAATTCATTAAAGAGGCTTCTATACTTGTAGTGGTGAAATTTCAGCTAAAATGATTTTCCAACTTCAGGCAAATATGAATCTTGAGTCAGTGTTTTTATTAACATAGTATTATACTCATAAAAATTTAATTTTACATACATATATTTTACGTAATATTTTACAAGATTAATTTTATACACACATATTTCTTAGCAAACTTTATATTGAATTGAAAAACAGGCCCTTCCCTCCCCTCCAAAGAGCTAACCTTAAGCACGTTTTCAAGGCACTAGAAACAACACTTTAATAGCTATGTAAAATTTGGAGTTTTAGTTCCTATCATTGTGAAACTATTTTTCATTTAGTTCCCTGTTTCTGGCCATCCAGGCCATGACTTTGGTTATTGCCGGTCACCTGAGATTTGTTCAAAAGTTATGTAAAAGGAGGCTCAGCGTGCTCCTTTCTATGTCACAGGTCAATTCTTAACCTTTCCATGGAAAGTGATTGCCAGCAGAGCCTCTGGAGAGACATGGCTGGGCAAACACACGAAGGATTTTACATTAGCTAGAAATGAACGGAGCTCTCATGAATGACTTAAGACCATTATATTGCCAAAAGCTGGCTGTAGTGTTGTGATCATGGTATTCTACTTCAGGTAGCAACCTGATATTTTTCATCAAACAAAAATTCTTAACCTATTGGGACTCTCAGCTCAATATATTTAGACCCATCCATTGTTCTCACTGTTATTTTAAACAAGTTCAAGATGGATTTACAGTGCATGCTAAAGTCCCATGGAAGTTCCAGTTTTTCATAGAAGAATTTAAGTAAGGGATTGATGTGGGAAATTATCACATATTTTCTGTGATTAAGATGGGATTTATGCTAGCAAACATGCACAGTATGTACTTTAAAAATATGCTATTCTAGGAGTTCTACGTTTGTTTTAAAATTGGGTTTCTTATGCTCGTTCAGAGATTCCATATTGAAAACTCCAAACAAATATAAAACTACCTTTTAAAAGTTGATATTTTAAAATTCTAAATTCAGTGATGCCTAGTTTGTCTGACACGAGGGACAAACGGTCAATGGTTTAGAAAACTAAAGCTTCTATGTTCAAATGCCAATGCTGTTTTTCATTTTTGAATTTTATTTTAGTGGAAAGCATACTAAAATGTATTACACATATCCTCTAAAATGTCTTACCCTGGACATACTTAACCTTTCTCAATAATTCAGGGTCAGCATTGTAAACATCATTTTTGCACTATGCATGACATCTGGGAGTAACTGCACCTGCACCAAATTCTTTTTGAGTTCTACCTGCTTTTTATAGGGTTTTTCAGTCTCTTTACGCACAGCTAGCCTGTCAGCTGTCACGTCTTGAAGCCTCAGAGTGCTTCCTCCAACTCTTATCTAATTTGCTACCTCTGACTTACTGTGGGCTGGGAAACCATTTAAACACACTACCACACCCATTTGAAATGTGCTAAAATTAGAGTAAATAGGCTCTGACAGAGGACCTGAAGGGTTGTTCTACAAGTAAGTTGTGTGAATTTGTAGAATCTGTGACCTTTTCTTCCCAAAGCTTTTTGTTTCCTTTAACTTCCAGATTCTCAGCGATGCTTTTTATCAGATTACTTAAGCAAAAGCCTTCAAATACATTATATATTTCACCATCATTTTATTACATAAAAATAAAAGCAACTTGCTAATGGTTTTAGCCCACAACTAACCACAAAGTAAACAAATTTGCATGTCAGGAATAAGTTATTTGATTGGATGAACACTTCTCTCCAGTTGCTAAGAATAGGGGATGGAGGGCCACTAGTGAAACTGATTCAGCATTTTGATTTAAGGATGACTCTGGCTCCTGCTTCTAGTATGTAACCTCCTCTGCCTCTGGGTGTTGGACCTCTTGGGTGGCCGGTAGAATGCAAAAGTATTCTGGGGAACTGGCAGGATG